GTTGTGCATGAGCAGCGCTTATTTGGTGAACTCGGCTCTGAAACACTTTCTTGCGTGGTTAAGAAAATTTTGCCCTAGAGTAGACCACCCATCTAAAGTGAGGAAAGAATAATGTGGATGGGACACAGCAAGAGATGCTGTTAAATGAATTTATAAACCTATCTTTTTGCTGTTGCTTGTGAAACAGCTTTTTCTCAAAAGGTCCAGGAACGAAACCACCTTCTTCCAGACCGTAACCCTAAAACGCCAGCAGCTGCCCCCAACTCATCCTCAAGCCAAACTAGAGTGGGGGCCTGGGGAAGCTGCCCTGTCCTGGCTGCTCTAGCAGGGCTTGCAAAAACACGCAGCTCTGATCCCCAGTGACAAAGTCCATCCTCCTGGTCTGTGATTTTTGGCAGGATACAGGTAAAAAGACAAACAACTACTACCCATGTCACACCTTTGTGGTTTTATTTTTGGTTTACCTTACCTTGCTTAAGCAAACTTAAGCAGTTACTCAGGCTTTGATTTCCTCAGTATTTATCCTGTTTAGTCCTTCTATTGCCTTTCAGGTACTTGCTATTAGATTTCTTTCCTACATCGGTCAGGTGCCGTAAGCACCTTCCAATTCCAGCATGGCACTTCCACAAACAGCAAAATAGAAGAATACGGTGATCGGCTGTTTGGCCTTTACCAATCTGTCTCATTGTAGCAAAACACTGCAAACTTCAAAATTAGAATAGAGATTTTTGATTTCACAGCAGTGAAATTAGAATATTTTAGTACTAATTTCAGTGGTCACACAGAATCAGTAATGAAAGTAACTGCCCAACTCTTCACCCACCACAGGTCTTGGTACCAAACAGTGCTATATGGCATGCCCAGAACACCAGGGAGATGGGATTTCTGTCTCCGAGATGATTGATTCTTTTGGAGGAAAAGGGAAAATTAAAAATAAAATACTGTCCGTGTTTCCTCAGTGTTGCTGGACTCTATACTGTCATCAGTACGTTTATTAGAGATTTATTCAATGATATTTTGCATTCCACATGGATTGTGTTCTGAAACTTTGCACAACTATCTTCTTGCTGAGGGAACTCTTTTCTGAACTCGTTTTTATACAGGTCTCCAGGAACTATGATCAAGGGAACCAGGGAATCAAAACCACACCAAAGGAGCAAATATTAGAAATAATGAAATTCTGTTAAAAAAAAGTTACATTCTAAGAATCAGATATAGCCACAAAACCCGAATGAAAAATGTTCCTCCTTCTCCCTTCTGTGCTGAGCTTTCCACAAGGTCTTTAATCAAAAAGACTGATGTTTAAACCAGACATGTACCTCATTGCTGGAACTTCCTAGCATCAGTTCTCTCCAGAGATCACCTTGCACACAAGGAAAAGCATAATTTATTACAATTCAGTTTGACTTTATCGGCAAAGCAGCCAAAAGCACGTGCTGGGTGGGATTTTCCAGCGTCAACATTCGTGTTGAGCCAAGAAACGTTTCCAAAGGCTGATGCTTCAATCCACAGGGCAGGGACCAGCACTGATGAAAACCCAGTCGCTCCATTCCCAGCTCTGCTGCTGGCAACACACGAACTGGGACGAGTCACTTCCCATGGGTGTCCAAGCCAAACTATTACTTGTAAGGGCCTTGTGACTGTCTTATATACAAAACATGATGCATCCCATTCCTGATTCCTGTTGAATCAATCAAATTAAGTGAATCAGCACAAGCTCTTCAGCACTGCATCGAGCCGCTCAGTGCAAGCTATTGGTCTGTTTTCAAATGCAGGAGTGCTGGGAAGATGAATTTGAACAGAGCAATGAAGTCACACATGAAACTCTGGAGCACTCAGTGTACTCAGAAATGTAAATAACACTATGAGACGTCACATGGGATACGTAAGCTGCTTTAATAATAATAAATTTATTAAGTGGCAAGAAGCCACTCTGTAAACCGATTTTACTCAATCACAGTCCCCCTAGTTTTTTTTTCCTTATTTAGCATGAATTATTCTGTAATTTGCATGTGGAAGATTTACATAGATACATTCTGGCCCACTCTCTTGTTGATTTTACTGGTCAGCAAAACATTAAACATGCAGAAACAGCACCTTATTAAAACTAAATGCGTTTCTCATTTGCTCTTTTGCTGCTAAGCTAAATTGTCACCGAATAAGCCAAATCTACAGTGGTCTTCTTCCTCATCCTGTGTTCCAAGATGTAGTGGGGCCTGCAGAAATGTCTGATAAAACCTCACATAAAACAAGTAATTCAGAAGGCTGTGTAAGCGAGAGCTGCAGTTGCTTCTTCAGACTAGAGAGAGCGTCTCATGCATTAAATGCACTTAGTTTTTGTGAGGTGCTCCAAGGAGGATCTGCCATCCCTGATACAGTTAGTAGAGCCTGGAGTCTGCACCACTGGTATCGTTCAGCCACTGTGTGCACCAATAATTTAAAAACAAAACAACAAATCAGGCTGTTTTATCAGAAACAAGTAGTAAATCTTATCATGATATTAAAAAAAAATGGCAATTTCTGATGTGTGATTTGTCATTGTTTGAGGATGAATCAGTGCAAAGTGAGGTAACACGTGCACCCCGTCGCCTGGGACGGGCGCACGTTAAACCAGGCGGCGCCTTTTGGAATCCCGCTCCATGTCTTCGGCGGGAGAGTCTCCATCGCATCCTAGTGGGGACACCATGTTCAGCAGAGGGTCTTCAGACGCCCCTCCAAACAGGGAAAGCAACAAAGCCACGCCGTAACCAGTAGCTCGTTCACCCTGTGGGGAAAAATAATCACAGAAAAAAAAAAAAAGTGGTTTTACTATAACCTGGGCTAGTTTACTCGGGGGTCCCTGGCAGGCATCCTCAGCTTGTGGTTCTGTACCCATATTCCTGGAATCTAACCAGGAATCTGTCCTGGTGAAATTAAACCAGCACATCAGTCAATTCACACAAGAATAGAGCTCACAATTACTTGAGGTTGGATTTGTGCTGACAATATTTGGGGCTAAGAACACTCCATCCAACATAAGCATAGACTTGGAATATGAGCTGAAGAAATCAGGTCAAAAAAAAAATATATATATGTATGTACTGTGTGTGTGCTTGCGCGCACACGTGCTTGTACATATATACAGATACAAAAAAGTTCCAGGCAAAGGGGGAACACTAGAGCAAACAAATAATTTTCCCTGCTGCCAGGCAGCAGGCAGAAAAGAGAAAAGTCTGGTCAATCACCTTGAAGACCATGAAGGGAAAAACTGGCTGACTTTCCATGAACAGTGAACAACTGAGCTAAAAAACACAGGTTATTGAAGTTAAGAGTTAAAGAAGCTTCCACTTAAAGTGATTTTAGAACATTTTAAAATCAAAATGAAATACATGGCCAGACAAAGCTACCAGAGCAAAGGAATTTGATTTCCCAAATAGAGATGAAGAGTCAAAGCACTGCAAAACACTCTTCCTCTAATTCTCTCCTTGCATTTAAAAGGACAGAATTTGGGATCTCTGCAGTTTTATTTCCTAGGGCAGCAGGCCAGGTGGATTGTCAGACACATGGACACACTCACCGCATGAACAGGGGCCGCAATGTCTATATGGACCCAAACTCCGGGCCAGTCAAAGCCAATGTGAGAAGCAATGAAGAGTCCAGCACAGGAGCTTGGAGTATTGTCTCGGTCCTGTAGAAACAAAATACACTTTTCTTGCAAGAAAACCAGATGTGTTTTATTTTTTGACTGTGAGGAAGGCAGTGTGCAGAGCTCGTTCAAAGTTTAATGGCTGGGCCCTAAAACCTAAGGCCAGCTAACCAAATATACTGACCCTAAGTATCAATACAGAGACACTTGATCTGTAAAATATCTAAGTAAATAATGGTTTTCAAAGTCCTTATATGGCCAATTTTTAAAATTTATTGCTCACTGGAAAAGCTTTCTTCCACCATGAACAGGCCAGTGCATTACCTAGGATATGCAAAGGAACATGAATCAGAACACATCTTTCTTTATTACATAAAGGATGTACAGGAAAACTTACTGCCACAGAGTTCTTCATATCAGCTACAGCAGAGGTAAATTCACTGAAGTGGAGCTCAGGGCAATACACAAGAGGATGGACCAAGTCTCCACAGTTCCTACCAGCTTTAACACAAGCCTTTTCCCACTCTTCGTTGTTGGTCAGGACAGCAGCATGATACTTTCCTGTAGCAATTCCCTAGAGAAAGACAAGACACAATCAGGACACATTCACCTTTATTATGCCAAATTCTCTACTCCTTCCTCTCCATTAACAGCTGCTTGCCATCTAGCAAGACCACTAAGAAAAAGTCTTGAAGCTATTTCGCATTTCATATACACGTTTTTTTTCCAGTCACTAACCAAACTATATGACTTGAATATTCTTAGAAAAAAAATCAAATCAGCAATGAAATACAAATAAAATAGCTAACACACCTTATATTCCATCAGTGTTTGCTAACAAACATTGCCAATGTACCATCTTGCATGGTCAGAACAGTTACTTCCTTCCAGATCTACCAAATCCAGAAGCCCTCAGTGCCTCAGTTTTCCAGTAGGATAATGAGGGGAAAATCTTACAGGATTAATGTTTACACCAATGCAGGCCAGGATTCCTGCTAAGGAACATTTAACTAACTGCAGTATCCTCAGAATGCAGTAGTACAACCCTGGCCCTCTCTTATCTGACCTTACGGTAATGAAAGCTTAGGAGTACTTTACTCAACCATGTCAATCTCTTGTGCCAAGGAAAAAAGTCAAACTGAACTTTCCAACACCCACATTTAAATCACACGCTTATTTTCATCATTAAGAATGGCTACCATTTTCTTGTTCATTAATTCCACTTTGGGGAATCCAGAAACAGACTCACAGCAAATTGAAAATAGCAATTAAATATGAGTGAAAGTTCTGCTAATTATAAGCCTACTAAATTGCAAACACTGGATCACTTATGTCACCTGCTAGCATCATCAAAAAATAATTTTTCCATAAGTTACACAAAACAGAAAACCTACTAATTTCTAGAAAATGTTGATGGCACATGTCATCTCTGAACGCTTAGTACACACAAAACGTTACAGCTTTCTAGGGTTACTGCTGGTACCTTTTTTTCTTACATAAGTTTCTGAAGCCATCACCAGGTACCAGTTTGTGATACGCAACTTCCCCCTCAACTCAGCAACCCGGTGGATGAGGCAAAGCTGCCAACGATGCACAGACGTGAGTGCGACGTCTCCCTGCCCGTGAGCAGCTTTGCACCAGTACCTGAGCTCCAGTGAGGGTGGCCATGTCAAGAATGATATCGGCTCCAAGATCTTTACATGCATAAGCTACTCCATCAGCCAGTACCAGCCTGCCTTCTGCGTCAGTGTTATTGATTTCCACAGTTCTAGAAAGAAGACAGTGCATTGAAAATCTAGAATACTGGATAAGAAAGCAGGTGCAAATCTAACGTGCTTTTTAACTCAACTCTGAAGTCTGTATTGCTGCGTAATCCCTGCTTGCAAGCAGCCAGGCACAGCAAGCCCCAGTAAATGTTTTTATAGACAATAGTGTCCTCATGGTAAGGTCTACCTGCTGGGGCTGTCCAGTGCCCAGAAGGTCAGGCTGGGATCTTATAAACTACCACCATGCAATTATCATCATATTCCGTTTAAAACTATATGAAATACTTAAAAAAAAGGCTAGCCTGTTCCTGGGACTGAGACAACACAGACTACAGCTGGACACAAGGCATTGGCTGTAGGTGAACACAGCACATGCTTGACAGCACTTTAAGGAAACCCTGCCTCAGGATATTATGTCCATACTATATGGATTTTCACGTGCACTTATATATCCAACAGGAGACTCAGAGCACACAGGAACGTCACTCCTGTGGCTGTCTGAAAGACTGTTATCAATACTAGAGGGGTTGCTGAGGGACAGACTCACACTTTGAACAGAACTCAATAGACAGAATCAAAAATCACGTTTCTTCTCAAAGCAGCTGTTAAAAGGGATAGATACAATCTTACTTTCCAGAGTAAAGGACATGAATATCATCAGGTCTTGTCGCACGTGGTCCAACTGCATTCTCAGCCAAACAAAAAACAGCATGAAGATTGTCTTTAAAACCCTGTAGCAACAATAGGGGAGAAACGGGTTTCAATTCAAAACATCAATTTATTGAGACTGAAACCAGTAAGGGAATACAAGCTGACACAACAACACTGATTACATGGGAAATCTGTGAGAAATGCCTCATCATCTGAAGTCACATCCAAGAGCTAGAGAATGAGGATGAGAAGAATTTATCTAATACTTGTTTCAGAGTCCTCACTGGAGGAAACGGGAGCCTATGAGCAGCGCAGGGATCTAGAAACCCTTTGACAACTGAGCAAGTGAACACACAATCTTCCCCCGGTGGCAAAGTATCTGCATTAAAATGTCTCCTACACGCAGCGTGCAGATGCAACAGGAGGGCAGCTCTGTCTGGTCACCGAGATCCCAGGGAAGAACAATTTTGTGCTTTCCAGCCAGCTTTTGTTAATGCCCACAAGCATCATTCCAAAGGCCACTAACTTACCTGGACATTGCGGGGCTCACTGAAAACAAGGCCTGCACTGCTGAAGTGCAGTATCCCTGTGAGAAAAGCAACGAAATACATCTCCAAAGATGTACTAAGATAAATGAAGTGGCATAACCCTAACAGAAGCTCACAACAGAGGTTACAAACCCCAGGGCCAAACCTTGTAACCCCTTCATCTTCTGTAGCCATAAGGGAAAGATCCAAGTAACATATGCTTTCAGCATGACAATTACGAAGACTTGTGACAGCATATTACACTGCCAGTCAGGATGTCTGGAATTACTTTCCAATCCCTATATTTTCCATTGCTTTTATTTAGCCTCCAATAACAACAAAGATACAATTTGGGGCTATTTGAGAAACTGAGTTCCTCCCTATCATTTCAGCATTATTGGGAGAAAGCCTACAGTAATAACAGAAAAGAATGGAAGGGAAAATGCTAATAGGCAGCCATTTACAAACCGTGTGTTTTCTCTGTAAAAACAACCCCAGATGAACTAATTCCACCCCCGAGAATTCAGCTGGAAAGCAGCTCTGATCATGGCAATGCTGGAACATGGTACTCCTGCATGTCTTGGTGCTTCTCCCTGCTGCCAGTCATCTGACACAGCCTCCTGTGCCACAGACCCCAACCCTCAGACCACAGGTCGGATATGGGCTAGCACTATCTACCTCTTTCCATATGAAAACAAAACAACTACAGTTAAGATTGAGTTTTTTTTCTTTTTTAAATATATATCACTCCTGCAGGGAGGCATGCAGCATTTTCAAAATCCTTTTTTTCCTCTTAACCTCCTCTTCTTCTTCTGCCAGATTCCATTCTGGTTTACTCTGGTTTAAAATTAAGTGCTTATATGGTTACAGGTGATATTTTAAAATATGATTTTGTTTGTACAGTGACTATAGTGTATGAAAGGATCCTATGAACAGACAGCAGCATTTAACAAAGGCAGAATTTCTCTTCAACTGGGACAGCTAGCCTTAAAAACATTGAATTCCTAGGAAAACCAAGATCAGTTTTACTAGGAATCTCTTGAAGAAAAATGGACACGCTGAATAAACTCATGTCCTGAAGGCCAAAGAGTGAATGCATCAGTCGCAGACTTTCAGAATAATGGGCAGCATCTGGAAGCTATAAAGTAATTTCGCAGTTCCTTGTCTAGTCAGGGGCAAACAGCACTGCAGATGAGATAACATTCCATCCAGGACCCACTGCTTTGCCAAAACGGTGTGTGCAGCAAAATCCCCCTCCATTTGCCATCTCACCAAATTTCAACGAATTTTCCTCTTCTAAATGGGACATGTAGTTAATCTACTGTCTCGAAAAAAAAAAAAAAGGTATCTGCTGCCACCATCACCTGCCTTTTTGTTTTCACAGAACCTCATTCCTTCTGTAGCTGTTGAAAAACAGCATTCCCTATGCTGATATGCAAGAGACAAGGATTCAAAAAAGTGAATGTTTTTCTCTTCTCACTTTTGTTGGAAAACTCACAATGGATGCAATGCATCTTTCTAGGAAAAAAAAATCACTGCTTAGCTTTACTTTTGACTCCAAAGTCTCATTAAATCATGTTGAAAAATTGCAGAATAGCATGGAGGCAGAAGATTATTTTCTGAAGATGAATAATTGCCTCTCTTCCCCTTCCCACTGAGCTTCCTATTCAACACAAGTTTCAACTTCAGTCTTGTGACAAAGCATAGCTAAGCTAGACTCCTTCCAGCTTTATATTACTTTAAAAAGTATTTTAAAAAGTCTTGAAACAATAACAAGGATAAATTCTTTCCACTATCCAACTGAATAAATTTTCTACAGGGAGTTCTTTTTACATGAGGTTTTAAAATTAAGCAGTGAGATCATTCTTTTGTTTCTACATATGAGGGTGCAAATTTCATTTAGGTATGAGAACTTTTGTAGGCTCGGTTTGTCCAAACTGTTACTGACAGTTTTGTCATGGTTCCAGTAGCTGTATAGGAAATAACATATCACCTACCATTCATGCCTACTGGAACTGTGAATATAACTTCAACAAGGGGAGATAACTATATACAGGAACATTTCTGAAGCAAATAGAAGAGTACACCACGTATGTGTCTTTCCCAAACTTCCCCAAAGAACTGGAGAAGTTTTACCTTTAGTCCCTGTTGAACGTGTGATTGAACTTTCTGAAGGAGTGAGTTACGGAGAGTTTGTCCAAGATGCTCCTCATAAATCTGTTTTCAATTGTAAATCTCTGAAGATAACTGAAGTTTGCAATCCTCCCACATAAAAAGTGCTGCTAGGGCCAAGGCACAGAGCTAAACTGTTGAGAAATGGGTATTTGGCAGTGGACAAAGCTTCCGTCAGACCTATGCATTAATCTGTAGCAGTAAATGTTCTTTGAACTTTGGATACTCCTTGGAGGCAATAGCTCTGTCAGCAAGACTTAGTGACTGGATTTGTGGAGAGGGCAGAGTTTTATTGGCAGTAGCCATGCATTTTCTGCAGTTCCTATCATTAAATATGCAATTCTGGTTAAATCTTCATATTTCAATGCTTGGTTGCTTCTCAAGTCCTCTACTAATTTCTGAGCACAGGAGCAAATCTACGAGCAGTTCCTGATTAAAGTAGAAATGTAACTTCCCCATTAAACAATATTAGAACTGGCACAGAATTCAGGATATGGGTAGACTTAGTACCCCAGCATAACTCACTCCATTTTTTGATAAGGGGTTAACAGTTACCCCAATTACCATACCTTAAATTAAAAATAACATGGGATAAATAAAATAAGAATGAGTACTGGATAACTCAGGTATAAATCTGATTCAAGGGACTTGAATCAACCCCAAAATTCAAGAAACTCTTTAAAAAACAAACAGAACTCAAGAAATTTCTCACATTTCCCAAGATCCCATAGATTTCAAATATTTTCCTAAAATAGCAGAAAGACCCAAGATCAGTAAAGGCAGTGGCAGGTCAGAATTTCAGGATTAGACTGGCCCCAAAATCTGGGAATACATCCAGAAGTCAGATTGCTCTTTGGCAATACTGGTCTACATGGTATCAATTAACATATTTTGCTTACTTGCTTTACAGTGGCTTTGAAGGCACCCAGAATAGCAGCTGCTCCACCACAGTCTCGTTTCATGCCAGGCATAGTAGTCTGTTATAACACAGAATCATACACAGATTTTGTTATTTTTATTTTTGCTTTAAAGGAAAGATTCACAGTTCTGCCTCCTAAAATTAGTATTTCTGATGCATCTGTAACTCTAGTCTTGACGATGCTCAGCACATACATAGAATAAATGTGCATCTGCTTTCCTGGGGATCTTGTCTTAGAGCTCGAAAATATTAAATCTCTGCTGCTAATTTATATGAAAAGAAAAAGGAAAAAGGTTGATGATTATATTTGCAACAAGATCAACTCAAATGGCCTTTGCATCTATCTCCAAAATCAGAAATCAAAGACTTCTGTTTTATGCAATATATAGAGAGTGCATATATATATATATATACACACACACACACACACACACACATAGTATGCAGCATATAAAGAGTAAAATACCAGGCAGTTACTAACTGTTCTGTAAAGTATTCTTTGGATTCTATTTAGTCTTTTCACCCTGGTAGCTTAGGACATTACAAGTGAGGCCAAATCTACCTTGAATAAAAATACTGTTGTTTCTACAGGTATTAAATGAATTATTCCCATCAGGAAACATGACTGTAGGCAAAGAGAATAGAATAACAACTCTTCCTGTACCTTTCCCTTAATGCTGAGTCCTCCAGTGTCATACACGATTCCTTTGCCCACCCATGCAATGGTCTGTGTAGCACCATCTGGAGTGTGACTGAGAACTGCCAGGGCAGGAGGATGCAGAGCTGCCTTGCCAACTCCATAGATGCCTGAAAAACAGAATTAAACCACCTGTGGGAAAGGTTTAAATCTCTGTGAATCATCTTGAGATTCTGTGGGCAACAAAACTGCCTCAAAAAAGCATAAATAAACCATGACAATTCACATGGCATAATATTCCAAAGAACTGCTGGGAAAAAAGGTTGAATTTTGAACAAGATATACCTCCAAATCCTCTCTCTTTCAGCTCCTCATCTCGAATAATGGTTGGAGTAATCCCAAGATCCTTGCCAACTTTTTTGATTTCCTTCACCATTAAGAGAAAAAAGACAGCCAGTCAATGATCAGAAAGACACATTTGTGTCTTCCCACAGTCAAGAGAGATGTATCCACATACAGGTTTTGTGCGATTTTGTACTGAGGCACACATAAACATTCATTAATTTGGACCTGATACTGGTTTTCCAATGCTTTCATTCCCCTGAAACCTCCTTGATTTACACTGCATAAAATGCAAATATGATCTTCAAGCTCTGCTAATTCAGAACTCTTCAGAGGCAAAAGCCAGCTGTATTTTCTACCGGGCCATGATGAAACAGAACATTTTCACTCTCTGAAGCTTTCCAGATCTTTTTAATAATGAATTTACAAACATGTCAGCTTCTCTCCATGAACTTCAAAAACGCTCAACACCAGGTGGCTTCCCATTTCACAGATCCATGACAATTGCACATCCTCAAAACAGCCAGGATTTTCGTGCTTATGTGAAGTTGCAGAGGAACCAGTGTCACGACCAAACCAAGAACTCACTTCTGATTCCTCTTCATTACCCCAGCTTTATACTCTGCATCCTTTCAACTTATGAAAGCTCTCTGAGCTGTTTAGGGCTAAGCAAGTAACTCAAGCACCCTTGGGCAGCTTTTCAGATATGCCTCCTACTGCCTATAACCAATAAGGTTCTACTATGAGATACCAACACTGGTTCTTGATCACTGTAGTTAAGGCTACCAAAAACCAATTCTTATTTGTCAGGTGCATTACCAACCTCCAGGAAGTTATCAGTGTTCATTTCATTGCACGGGGTGTCCACAATTCGAGCAGCCAGCCTGACTCCTTCTGTTGCACTTGCCAAACACTAGGAAAAGAAGCGAGGACATTTGAGATCTGGCTTTGGTTTGGATAGTTTTTCTGCATAACTTTGGACCACAATGTGTGGCTCCTCTGGAATATATTAATGCTTAAATGCAACAGGTACCAGGCAGTTCTACAATACTAAATAATAACAACACAACTAATCATTATTTTTCACATTCTTAAACTTAAGTTCCTTGGGATTTAGAGCAGAGAAAGTATCTTAATTCCTTCCCACAGTGAATTGATATTTCAAAATTAGCAAAATTGATATTTCAAAATTTTTTCACTATCAAAGCGGGACCATGAACGCAGTGGGAGACAAAGCAAGTTCAGGATATTAGGACAAACTTGTAGGCTGCTTGGGCTGGAAGCCTGCAGAAACTACATAACCTACAACACAGAAGCAATAGTTTAGAAAGACTCAGCACAACCCTTTACTGCCATAAGATATTCTGTATCTTATAGCTCCGTTCATGGAGAATATGGAATCTTTCATATTTGGTGAAACACACATGCAACTGTTCCTTCCTTCCTATGGCAGGATGAACTGATCTACACTTGGACTGAATAAAGACTGAAGCAGGAGAGGATTAAGTCAAAATGGTGTGCACTGAGCAAGTGGAGACCATTTCATTTTAAAGGAGTCTCACAACAAAGACGACAACGGAGGCACCAGAGAACAGGCTTCAAATTTTAACACCTGGGAATCAACAACCTGAATAAAGACGACCAGGTGGGAGGAACTTTGTTCAAGTTTTCTTGCAATCAGACTACAAGGAAGAAGACCACACACAGCAGGAGGGTGAGTCAAGATGGGTTTCAAAGGAATCTGATGTGTTGGCTAGTTATTAGTGCTGATATATCTCAAGTTTGACTTGGCCAGGCTGCCCTGAGGACTCTATATTCTGTATCCCAGCAGACTCATAAATCTGGCTTGTTTTGGAATGGTGCCTGATTCCGTACAATTACTTCTGGTTGCTTTACTTCCCCTGAAGGGATAAAGACCTCCTCAAGAGCCAACTAGGTTTGCAGTGATTCACTGTTAGGACCATGGAGGTAAAAGGAGGTGTTCTAACACAAAGGGCAAGTTTGGGGGAAACAATACAACCTACACACAAAAACAAGCTATGCCTGAGTTTGGACTCCAGGGTACTCAGAGAATCTGTATAATGGTAGTTTTGAATGAGAGCCTTGTAAAACTGTGACAAACCCTGCTAGTCCTCACCATAAAATATCTCGGACAATGCAGCAGGGGCAGAATGTGGCAGCGTGCCTAGGGAGAAGTTTAGCCAAAATACTGCTACCACATATCTCTTCCAGGCTCTGCATTAGCTGCCCAGAGCTTGTTGAATTAAGAGGCGAAAACTTATTTTTCAGGTATAGATACCCACTTGTCTTCCAGTCTAGTTTGTCTTAAAACCAATTACTTGCTCTCTGTTTTAAGGCATTGAGAAAATTAATGATCAGACACTGTATTCACAGCACAGCTCTTCTTGCTACTTTTCTACGAACTGGGCTGGAACTATTCACTGTAACCAATTCACCGCAATACCAGACTAAGGCAAAAGTAGGGAGGAAAAGATACTGCAGAAAAACAAAACAAAACCCTCATAAACCAATGCTGCAATTCTGCAACTTTCAGATGCAGAAACACCATCTCCTGACTCCCATCCATACCTGAAAATTGTAAGGATATAAGAAAAAGGGAAGGTATAAGAAATATAGAAGCCCACATACCAAAGGTAGTATAATATTAAAGACTAAAATTTCTATCCATGATTTTCTTTATGCTACTTGTTTGCTTGGTATCTTTCACTTCCTGAAATCTAAATTCTGAACTTCAGTCTTCACTGCAATAATATCACGTTCCATGTTTTTACTCAGGTACACCGCAAGCTCATCAAAATCAAGGAACTCTGATCTGTGATCATTTCTTACTCTTGATACACCATCTGCTCTAAATGTAGCCTGAAAGACATGCATTCATGCATGCAACAGTAGAAACAACTCACCACAAAACAAATCAAAACTTACTTTAAGTGTTGCCACTTCTATTGGTCCATTGTTCTGTCCAACTAGGAAAAATTCCACTGTTACAGTTTTCTTCTCTGTGCGTCTCGATGCACTGGACCTATGTGTGAACAACGGGAAAGCCCTGGCTAACGCACAAGCAGAGGCGAAAACTTCAGAGCGCTCACAGACCATCTGTAACACCAGCCAGAAGACAAATGAGTCAGAAAACTGCAGAAGTGTGGACAACTACACTTAATATTACCTATAACCTGTGATAATATTGGTGAAGAGAAAAAAAAATGCGAGAGAAGAGCTGATGTCTGGATCAAGACATACTGATACATCAGGACTTACACAGATGGAGAACTGAACAGGTTCAGTTCACCCTCCATATAGAAAGGAATTATAATGCTGTACCTGACTTGTACCTGGGACTTAATATGGCCTTTAAGGGCGCGGAACTACTTTGCAATTAACAAAATTGCAATTAACGCAATTTTGCATATATATCGAGACCAAGAGTCATGGGAAACAACAATGTATGTTCCAAATAAATGACACGGAGAGAGCAAAGATGAGAATGTGGTTAATATTAACACATTTAACATGTTGAATATTTTTCTGAAGTTCATTGCTGGAATTACCAATGAAAAGCAGTTTTAGTTAAATATTTCCAAAGTTAACTCTAAGGGAAAAATCTATGTGGATTTATTGCTCTTGCAAATGACTTTTCCGTGAAAACTATAATTAGATTTGTTACTAACACAGACTGTATGAGTTTTCTCTAATACCTGGAAATAAAAAATACCTGGAGGAGCCACAGAAAAAAAAAAATCATCAAATTGAATTTTCATGATTCAATCACAGATTTACCAGGCTCACACAGCAAATGAGTGAAGCTGTGCAAGATCTTATCCAGCAAAAGGTGCACAGTGAACATTAGTTTGCATTAAGACTTTAAAAATCCATTGAGTAACATAGATGAGGCCTAGCGCTTTCAATGCACCCTAAATGGGGTATGCAACACAGACTGCATATTTCAGTTAATCATCTAAAGCATGGTATGTAGCATGTGCTAATACCAAAAAACCTAGTCTGAAAAAAAGCCACTATTATTCTCCTTTGCGTGGACATTCCTGGAGGAAAACATTTTCCATATATCCATCCTTAATTCTCTCCAACTGCTTGAGCAGGCATAAGCTATTAGCCTTAGGCTTTGCTAACGCTTCAGTGCAAAACCACTTACAAATACAACATAATTATACTGGCATAGCTTCCCCACCTCCAGTCTCCTTGGAAGAAGCTAAAATCCAGAAAAGAAAAAAAAAAGAAAGAAAAACAGAAAATCCTTCACCAGACAGTCCACCAAAAGCCCTTTTAAGCAGCCACTTACAACAATACATCTGTTGACGCCTCCTGGAAGACAGTTTCTAACCAGGCGGGTGATGAACTGAGCTGCAGATGGACTATTGTGGCGGCTGACCCGGGACGGCAGAGCGGCCACCGTGGCGTAATTCAGGTAGAGGGGGCAGCTGTCTGTGGGGTTGGGATTCAACGTGCTCAGAGCCGACTGCCAAATCTGCGGAGAAAAGAAGAGTTCAGAAACAAAGAACTCAGTAGAATCTTCTTTCCTGCTCATTCCAACTATATAAATTCACTCGTAAGTGGAGCGTTTTAGGGTTGGAAGCAAAGAAAAAAAAATGATGCAGCCATTTTTAAGCACACACACTTTAGAATCAAAATGAACGATAGTATCATGAGGCTCTTCAGGAATCAGAAATCACAACTTGGTTCCTGTCACAAGTATGGCTTTTAGAACACACGAATCATGTTTTTAAGCACAACATTGGGTGCCAGGCTGCTTCAGAGTCCTTCTATCTTGAAAGGGTTTTACCTGTAATAAATAGATGATCCAGCTAACTAGTCTGAAATTACTGTCTCACAGGGCAGGTCAACCAGAGCCAAAAAAAAAAAAAAAAAAAAAAAGAAATTGTTTTAAAAAACTGGGAACCCCAAC